TTTTGCTGGCCAGTTTTCAGGTCAGCAAAACAGTGCATCTCTTTCTTGGATAAGCTTCTTTTGCTTCTTTTACACAACAGAGTTCAGTTCTAGGTACATTTTCTGTTTTCTGCAAATAAATGGTTGCTGTAGTAACTTCTTGTTTCAGTCCAGTTAGCTGGGACCTCACTCACTAAATCACTACTCTCTGGGGTGAACCAGCTGATGGCTTTCTCTACAAATTGATCTTAACAATTACTGTAGGTTTTAAGACTATTGCCTTAGTGATTTTAGAGCAAACAGGAAAAGATTGAGCATGAGTTCTGAATGAATTATATTGTACCATCTTCAGGTTCAGATGCAGTATGGAAACAAATAACAGTTAATGGAATTTGTTGTTGCTGTGTATCTTCAATTTTTCCCCCTCTTATGGTGACCCTAATGTGAATGGGATTTTCTTGATAAAATGTGTTCAGAAAAAGGTTGCCATTGCCTTCTTCTTAGGTCAGTGGTTCTCAACCTGTGGGTCCCCAGATGTTTTGGCCTTCAGCTCCCAGAAATCCTAACAGCTGGTAAACTGGCTGGAATTTCTGGGAGTTGTAGGCCAAAACACCCGGGGACCCACAGGTTGAGAACCACCGTCTTAGGTCAAGAGAGTTGTCTAAAGTCACAAATGAATTTCATGGCTGAGTGGAGATTCAAACCCTGGTCTCCGGAATAGTAGTCCAACCACTACACTATTTTTCTTTCTTTCTCTAGATTTTTTTGTTTCTAAATTTAAAAATTATTCTTCCTCAAAAACTGGTCTCTGAAAAGCATTGTGAATGTAAGGAGCAACATGTTCATTCATTCATTCATTTGAACATTTCAATTAAGAATCTGAAGGAATGCCTAAGAAACATACTCATGCAATCCATTCTAGATTCCTGACTGGATTTCTGTAACATCACGGGAAAAGGTGCCTGGTGGAACTCCCACTGCCATAACAAAACCAATTGAGCTGGCTGGCTGGAATCTGAGTACACCCATTTAGGCCAGGAGTGGGAGCCACCCAGACTTCCAGATATTGTTGCACTAACCCTCTCACCATCCTAGCTGGCATAGCAAAAGGTTGCATACTGCAAGTCATTTCTGGTTGCTTCTGGAGTGAGAGAATCAGCCATCTACAAAGACGTTGCCCAGGGGACGCCCAGATGTCTTGCAATCCTTTGGGGAGGCTTCTCTTATGTCCCCCTGGGAAGGAATCCCACTGGAGCATTGCAGCACACCCAAATACCTGGGAGTTACCCTGGACCATTCTCTGACTTACAAGAAGCACTGCCTGAATATCAAGCAAAAAGTGGGCACTAAACACAATATCATATGAAAACTGACTGGCACAACCTGAGGATCACAACCAGATACAGTGAAGACATCTGCCTTTGCGCTATGCTACTCTGCTACTGAGTATGCATGCCCAGTGTGGAACACATCTCACCACGCTAAAACAGTGGATGTGGCTCTTAATGAGACATGCCAAATTATTACGGGGTATCTGCGCCTTACACCACTGGAGAAATTACACTGTTTAGCCAGTATTGTACCACCTGATGTCTGCGGGGGAGTAGCAACCATAGTGAAAGGACTAAGGCAGTGACATCGCTGGCCCACCCCCTGTTGGGTATCAGCCAGCACGCCAAATACTTAAATCAAGAAATAGTTTTCTAAGATCTACAGAGACACTCGCTGGAACACCTCAGCAAGCGAGAGTCCAAAAGTAGCAGGCTCAAACCCAGAATCTCAATCAATGGCTCATACCAAATGAGAGACTCCCTCCTGGGCACACAGAAAACTGGGCGACTTGGAAGGCATTGAACAGACTGTGCTCTGGCACCACAAGATGTAGAGCCAACCTTAAGAAATGGGGCTACAAAGTGGAATCCATGACATGCAAGTGTGGAGAAGAGTAAACCATAGACCACCTACTGCAATGCAACCTGAGCCCTGCCACATGCACCTTCTTGCAGCAACACCAGAGGCACTCCAAGTGGCCAGCTACTGGTCAAAGGACAATTAAATGCCAAGTCTGCGAACTTTGTTTTGTTTGTTTGTTTTTAATGCAATACAACTGTTTTGGTTCGCTCCTGACCCAATAAATAAATAAATAAATAAATAAATAAATAACAAAAGGTGAGCTATGTTTAAAGTTGAAGTTCAATATAGTTCTCATTCCTGCTGTATGACCTTATCAAACAGGGCTGAATTTGGTGACAATACAGGCTCTCCTTCCCTTTTGCCACAGAGACTGCTGGATCCCATGCCATGATGCACAACTTCTTCCGGTGGGGCTCTGTGCTAAAAGGGAAGGAGCTACTAAATCAATGGGGGAAGCTGGGTGGCAGGTGCTTCCCCTATGGGATGAGATAAGGGGGAAGTCAAGTGATGCAGGACGTGGAGTGATGGGTTTCCCATGCCCCCACCAGGCACCGCCAGATTCACCACGATGCGTGGTGATGCCAGGTACAAATGAAATGAGGTACCTAGAAAAGCATTGCAAAAAGAATTCAGGAGGAAGCAAGTGTTAATCATGCCATTTTTTTAAAAAAAAAATCGCCTTGCTGGAACTGTACCCACAAATGAGTGATCTCTAATGCTCCCCATCCCCTCTTTATGGTGAGAAAAGAGGATAGTCAGTCTTGTACCATGAGAAATATGATAGCAGCACATCTTGTAAAAGGGTTAAAACAGTATTTCCAATAAACGTCACTGAGACAGTGGTTGAGATGATACAGGGTTTCATTTCTGCAAAGTAATCAATAGATTATATAACTGAAATTCCCATACAGGATTGAAAGCACAATTATAATTGCAGGATTCTTGTCTTTCATATAATTGGGTTGTTGTAAGTGTTTCCGGCTGTATGGCCATGTTCTAGAAGCATTCTCTCCTGATGTTTCACCTGCATCTATGACAGGCATCCTCAGAGGGTATGAGAGCTGTTGGAAACTAGGAAAATCGGGTTTATATATCTGTGGAAACTCCAGGGTGGTAATAATAATCATCATCATCATCATCATCAACAACAACAAATATATTTCTAGACAGCCCTCTCTGCCCGATGGGACTCAGGGCGGTTTACAGAAACGAAACAAAACGCAAACACTCAATGTCTCAAATGAACACAGATACATCCAAAAATACAATAGTATTTATTTATTTATTTACTCTATTTCTGTCTCACCTTTCTCTACCCCGAAGGGGACTCAAGGCGGCTTTACATATGGCAACTATTCAATGCCTTTAGACAATGCACAGAAACTTACAAAAAAGAATTAAGCACCAAGATGAAAATAATAATAAAAAACAATCCAATAAGACATAGTTAACTAAAATATGAGTAAAACATTACAACATATACCCTTAAAGCAATTCTGAAACAATTACATTAAAATTGCTTTAAAATGGCTAACACCAGTATTCATTTAAGATGTATCATAGCAGTCATAAAATACAAGTGGCTTAGCCAGTGTACCAATGGGTTAAAATGTCATAATCCTCCTCCTCCTCTCCATACGCTAAAGTTCATAAGGGCATTTTCAGAAGTTTCTTAAAGGAGAGGAGGATGTGGGCCATTTTTATTTTTGTAGAGAGGGCGTTCCAGAGATGGGGATAATTTTGGTAGCTTAGATTTGTGTGATAAATTGTATCCTTTGTTTTTTTGTTTTCCCTTTTCCCTTGTATTCTGTATCTATTGTAATTTGTTTTTGTTATTTGGCTTTATGTAGATTTTATGTAAATGTATTGTAAAACACTATTACAATCCAAGGTTAGTAAAAACTCAGGATAAATAACAGGAAATATTTCTTCTTCTTCGACTTTTTGAATGTTGCCTTTTCTTTCTAGATATGGTAATAAATGGAGGACTTCCTAAATTAGTGGAACAGTAACAAATAAGAATTGGACCTGGAAGCAATCTTTTCTTCCAGTGCAAGTAATTCTGCCAGACATGTCCCACTATATTTGCAGCTATACACTTGTCCTCTAGTTTAAAATGCCCACTGTTAGCAGATGTTTTATTTGATTAATCATCTGCCATTTAATTAACCAATTACAGCGTGCTGTCTGTCCTATAATTTACAAATTTATACAATTATAATCCTGAATTCTGGTTCATGTATATAAAATGACCTGGGCAATTTTCCTAGAGTTCTCTATACTTTTGTCCAGTACTGACTAATAATACTTGTCAAACAAATGCCCTGCACTATTACAAAACATGATAATGTCTCCCAAAGGATTTCTGTTGTTACACTCTTATTTTAATAGATTAATAGATTTTAAAATAGCTTTTGATTTGGTATACTATGTATTTTGATGCCAGTAGGAATTGGTATCTAGATGAATTTGGGTTTAATCCTATCTTTAAATATGTGTTGATATTCAACGGGACCACTATAGAACTCTGAATACAAATGGTAAGTATATTTAAAGTATTAAATAAATTTCAATCACAATTCCATGATAGTTAATGCTACCATTCTCCAGTCTATTGGAGTTACTATACGGTAAAGTGGTCTTCTATTTAGAAATGTTGACCACTACTATCAGAGCAGTTCTTCTGCATAATGATTGGTTGTCATTCTGTGGACATGTTCCAACTTGTTGACATGGTGTTCCAGATGAGTACTGTACTCATTTTCATTTTTACATGAGTAAATGCACGTGGTCCTGAAACACGCAGGAACCATTAGACACGCAGGAACCAAGAGTTTTAAAGCTTCTCCTCCCTCCGATTTTATTTCCAAATCCCTCCCCTGTATGAGGGCTTCTTAAAAAACAACCTTGATTTGATATGGAATGTTATATAACATAGTGTCTTCTGGAGCCCTGCAATACAAGAGTAAGGATAGGGAGGGGGGAAATGAAATACAGCTTTCATGACCAAACATCTCTTTTGTGCAATGAAGCAATGCATCAAAATGATTGTATCTTAATGAATTCATCCCTATGATCCATAATGCAATTATTTCTCTTGCCCTCAGGTACAAAGCCATAGTGAGACCAATGGACATCCAAGCATCCCATGCACTGCTGAAGATTTGCTTGAAAGCTGCTCTCATTTGGATTTTTTCCATGCTGCTTGCTGCTCCTGAAGCTGTGTTTTCAGACTTGCGTCCTATTTATGACAAAGGCACTAATAAAACATTCATCAGTTGCACACCTTATCCTCTTACCAATGAGCTGCACCCCAAAATTCAATCAATGGCTTCCTTTCTTATCTACTACGTCATTCCCCTATCAGTGATTTCGATCTACTATTATTTCATTGCCAAAAATCTGATCCGGAGTGCCTACAACCTACCCGTGGAAGGGAATGTGCATGTTAGGAAACAGGTATGACTATTTTTATTTGCAAAATTGTCAAGTGCTGAAGTGGGAAAAGCACAACTGAAAAAAGCCCCATTGGTTACAGATGGACAGAGTTACTAGTCAAAAGATCTGCAGGATGTCAGACAGGTAATTATTACCGTGACATTACAATGCAACACTAGGAATTGTGTCAAGGAAACAAAAAGGTTCTCCATGTTCCATCCTATAATATCCTGTGACAGCAGTTCAATTTTAGCAAGAAGAAGGATTAAGGGCTAAATTAGGATATCTTGGGGCCCATAGTTGAGAAAGGCACACTGAAAATATCTAGCAGAGAATTAAAAGTGTCCCATTAAACAACACTTTGCATGATTGATTAGGATGGAATCATGTCAATTAAAATGGAATTTGACTGATATAAATTTGTAGTTTAGACTTAGAATGGCTGAGTCCATCATGAGGAAGGAAAAACCCATCCCTTGGTCACAAATATCAGAGTAACCAGGAGCCAGAAACTTCTCTGTCAGGCCAGATACTATCTTGCCCCTACATACTTTACATAATAATAACACAGTTATATTACATGCCACAGGTGAAATTTGGATTCTTCTCCTAACAAACTTACTGATTTAATTGAGTGCAGCTTATTTTTGTATTCAGTTTGAAACAACTGAAGTGAACTGAAGACTCAGGAGGACAGATGAAAAGAGAAACAGGAACATTTTGGAAGCAGCTGAAAAAGCAGGGTGTCAGAGGGTTATTTAGGACTGTACTTGCCAAATCAAGATAGTGGGTATGCTATAATTTCACATTAACTGCTACGGCAACACCCTGAGCTTTGTAGCTTGATGTGGATGTGAATTCCAAATACCCCTACCTGTATGTTTCAATGAGATGGAACCATAGTAGTTAAAGTGGAATTATGGTCATATAATTGGTGGTGTGACTGGCCCCCAGGAGTATGACTAGCTCCCATGGTGAAAGAGGAATTGAACTGGTGAGGGGCACACACAAACAAGCAATGGTCCCAGTGAGAAAGGAGGTAGCAGAGTGACTGTTTGACCCAATGTACACATTGTAAAATAATTAGGCAAAATGTGGTTATATATGAACCAGGGATGGAACTTTGCTTTGAATACAATCATATGTTTTGCATGCAATCATAGCTGACCATTGTGATGAACTGCTAGCTCAGGAATAGAATGAAGTGGCCATCCAAATGTTTTGGGGACTGCAGTTCCCTACATTCCCCACCATTTCTAGGGCCAGAATATTAAGTATGCCTCAATTATGATTTGTATACAGATCAGAAGTAAACCCAAAGGTACATGTGCCATCCTTCAAAACTGGAAGGCATAGTTCAAGTGCATCTTGTGCTTTTCCTCATACTACACCCTCTTGCTCTCTTCTTGGAGCTGAGACAATGACAAAGTAGAAGAGAGAAGTATGTGATTTGTTCTATAGGTCAACACTTCTAATTTTTGAAAGCAACTAGAACTAATGATCTTGTTACTTTTTTGGAATTGAGAAAGTAAAGAATAACTAGTTTGGGTGCTTTAAACTATAACTGTAATTAATTACTTCCTAACATGTCAAGCTTTGCTACTACCTCAACACTTTTGTTAATACAATTTTCAAATTAATTGCTTCTTTGGTGTTTTTTGAAAACTATAAAGTTAACTAATGGCTTTAAATAAAATAATTTTCAAGACTTGGCCCACCTTACACTTACATTGTACAATTTTTAAAGTGTCAATACTGAAAGACAGTGAGTACTATGAGGCTTTGAAATAGACAAGTATGAGACTAACATTTGTAGATGCATGTTATTGGTATATATAGTAAAATTAAAGCTAGCGTAGAACAAAGGCTGATCCTAAGTGACCGAATCACTTGGTAGTATTTGCCGCCACCACCTCAGAAAATGCTGGCCTGAGGAACCAAAAGGGTGTGAATGTATTTTAGGTAAAGGGTGTTTGAGCTCTTGGGCTTCTATGGCTTCCTCCCTAGCTGACTGGAGTGTAAAAATGTGTTGAAAGAATGAGTACTGAGGCAACGAATGGATTGAGGCATACACCAATTAAAAGTAAACTAATAAAGAGTTTATTTTAAACTTGATATTAACAACAACTCGTTGGAAATGAGTGGCACATAAAGCGTAATTCAGTTACATAGGCTTAGCTGTTTAGACAGTTTTCCCTAAGAATGTAGCTTTGGGTTTCTGTGAGTCTCTTTTAACTATACTGTTCAACTTCCTTTTGAAACAGTATAAAGTAAGGTTGCTTACCTGTAACCATGTTTCTTCTAGTGGTTAACTGTGAAATTCACACCTGTGGTATTTCCCTGCGTCCACGCAGCTGACTCGGATCTTTCTTGAAAGCTTTTCCTAATTAGGGACTCCAGCCCCGCCCATCTACTCCTAATAAAGCCAGGCAGCGGGGCTTGGAACCTTAATTCCGTACCGCGAAAGACAGTCGGAGATAAAAGGCATGACAGAATGTGGGGAGGATGGGCGGGTTGTGTGAATTTCACAGTTAACCACTAGAAGAAACATGGTTACAGGTAAGCAACCTTACTTTCTTCTGCGTGGTACTGTGAAATCCACACCTGTGGTAGACTAGCGAGCAGTCCCACGGATGGTGGGTGTCATGCTAGTGCAGAAAAAAGTACTGCTCTCCCAAAAGCCGTCTCCTTCTTGGCAGCTAAATCCAATTTATAATGGGAGACAAAAATATGCGGTGTTGACCATATGGCCACCCAACAGATATCATTCAGAGGCACACCGTGCAAAAAAGCCATGGAGGCTGCCAATGCTCTAGTGGCATGAGCATGGATCTGAACAGGTAAGTCCAGTCCTGCCATTTCATAAGCTAGCCGGATAGCTGCAACTATCCAGGCCGCCACCTCTGGGTAGAAACAGGAAGGCCCACAGTATCCCTACGGTACTTAACAAAAAGTCGTAGTGAGTTCCGTAATGGAGCTGTGCGGTGGACATAAAAAGCAAGAGCCCTCCGCACATCAAGAAGGTGCAAAGACTGCTCCAGGGGAGTAGAAGGATTTGGAAATAGGGTTGGAAGGACAATGTCCTGAGACATATGAAACTATGATGCTGCCTTAGGTAAGAAGGGAATGTCTGTGCCCAGCATGACCTTATCCTTATGAAATTTCACGTAAGGACTATCGACTCAAGAGCCATAAGCTCGCTAGCGCAACGAGCAAAAGTAATAGGCACTAAAAATGCTGTTTTCCATGATAGATGGAACATGTCAGAAGTGGCCATTCGCTCAAATGGTGGTTTCATAAGGGCGGAAAGAACAACCTCCAACCTCCAAGAGGGGGGCACAGGCCTACTTGGGGCCAGAAATTTCTAAAGCCTTGCAGAAATGTCTTTACAAGAGGATCGGATAAAGGAGAGGGAAGAGAATGCTCGCTTCTAAACGAAGCTATATTTGCCAGATTGACCTTCAAGAATGATAATGAGAGTCCTGAATCTGACAGAGAAATCAAAAAATCCAGGAGGAGGGAAGTGGAAGCAGACAGAGGCTGAACTCCTTGCTTTTGTGAAAAAATGCAAAAATGACACCACTTACAAATGTAAGAATGTTTAGTGGCAGGTCTCAGGGCAAGGTCCAAACTGCTCTTTACTGGTTGAGAGAGGGCTGAGGCTGGATCTGCCACGCCGTCAACCGGAACTGAGTGACCTGGGAGTACGGGACTGGGCTGTTGCCCATAGTCAGCAAGTCTGGTCTGAGTGGCAACTGAATGTAACAGCTGCCTGCAAGTTGGAGCAGAGTGACAAACCATGGCTGGCGGGGCCACCATGGTGTGATGAGAATGCAATCTACCTGCTCTGCTTGAAGACGAGAGACCACTCTGGACAGCAGTGGCAGTAGTGGAAAGATGTACAGGAGGGCGGATGTCCAATCCAGGAGGAAGGCATCTCCCAACAGCCTGTCTGGTGGAGGTAAGACGTGCTCCAAAGAACTGGCACTTCATGTTGGCGGGAGAGGCAAACAAGTCCAGAAGGGGAGTTTGCCATCTGACAAAGAGTTCCCATCCCTGGGAAGGATGAAGGGACCATTAGTGGTCATTATAAACTGTCTGACTGAGGGAGCCAGCAAGAGAGTTCTTGATGAATGGCACTGATGGTTATGGTATACCAGTCCCAGATTCTGATGAGGGCAAGCAAATCACAATTGTGGTGGTGGTGGTAAGCTGGACAATACTGTCCATGAGCAAATGACAGATAAGGTGCAGTGCCATTTCTACTGCAAGTAACTCCAAATAGTTGATGTGCTCTATGCCCTCTAGGGCCGCCCAAGGACCATGGATGGTGTGACCCTTGAGGCGAGCTCACCACTCTGAGAGGGAAGTGTCTGTTGCTAACATCGCCCACACAGAGATTGGAGCGATGAGTCCACTAGTTGATAGACCGGTGGATGGCTAAAGGGACATTGAGACATTCATTGGGCTCATCCTGCATGGGATGAAGTGCCCGAAGAAACCAATTCTGGAGAGGCCGAAGGTGCAAACAGGAGAAAGGAGTGGCAGCTGTGGTGAATGCCATGTGTCCCAAAAGGCACTGGACATCCCTGGCATGGATGTATGGCTTCTTCCAGACTCAAAGAGCTAATGAATGCAGAGTCAGAAACCTGTCTGAAGGCCCTTGCATGCCAAGAGTCCAATACAGGCCCAATGAATTGGTTGTTTGGATAGGCTGAAGAAGAGATTTTACCTTGTTGATAAAAAGACCAAGCTCCTGCTATAAAGACAGAGTAAAGTGAATGTTCCTCTGTAGATACTCACAGAACTGTGCACCAACAACCAGCCATCAATATAGGGGCAAACTACCACCCCGTGCACCCAGGGATGAGCCGGCATACAGCCATCTCCTTAGTAACACCTGTGGAGCTGTGGAGATACCATAATGAAGAACTTGAAATGAAAAGGCCTGACTGCTAGTAAAAAGTGACAAAAATCTACTGTCTTGTGGTCTAATCACCACATGAAAATAGGCATCCTTCAAATCAATGCTACTGAACCATGTCTTGCTGGATAACAGAGGGAGGATGGTTGGTAATGACAACATCTGAAATTTGCAATATGCAATATATGCATAAAGTCCTCTAAGGTCCAAAACTGGCCAAAGCCCACTGCCTTTCTTGGAAACCAAAAAGTATTTGGGGAAAAGGGAAAAGAAGGAAACATAGAAAGATGTAAAGAAGCTACTGCTCCTTTTGAAACAAAGTAATTACCTCCTACTATAACACAGGAGGAGGAGTGGCCCGTAGAGTCCCTACTGGGGACAGTTTGAGAAATTAAATTGCATAAACATGCTCTGTAATCACCAACACCCATGAGTGAGAAGTGATCTAATGCCATGCATCTAAAAATGATGAGGTGGAGCGCCAAAAACTGGAGCTGAAGGGTTGGAGGCTATTAAAGAAGAGAAAATGCATGCTAAAAACACTGTTGGCCCTGATCTTCTTCTTTCCCTTTAGTTTGTTGTCACCCCTGGTGGAAAAATTAAGTCTCCCAGCTACAGAGGCCCTAGAGTTCTGGCCCTGCTGAGGACTGAAGGAAGCAGGTCATGAAGGTTGATGATAATTAAGCTGAGGGGCTGGCCACCACAATCTAGGCTAGATTGTGGTAAAAAGCCAAACTTAGAAGCAGCCTGTCAAATCTTGTGCGTACTTTTGAAATGAGGGTCTGTATCAGGATGAAACAGACTATGTTCTGCCATGGGCAGTTATTCTGCCATTGCTCTGCCTTCTTTGGAGAGGGTAGAGGATCTCAGCCAACCATGCTGGTGGATGGCTGCTGCAACAGCAGCAAACACCTTTAGTACTGTATCGGTGCTGTGCTTAGCCATAGCTTTCTGATGAGAAGCTAAGGTGAGAGCTTACTGACAGAAAGCCCTTAGGATCTGTTGATGTTGTAGGGGAAGGAGATCCAAATAAAGTGCTGAGCTATGCCACAAGAGCACCTGATAGGCTGCCATACAAGCATGGTAATGAATCATGCAAGTGAGTAGGCTAGCAGTGGGGTGGATCTTCTTATCACAGTGGACTGACTTGAGGTGCCTTCGCTTTCTTGGATTAAACAACTTTGACCACAATAAAGTTCAGTTTAGTAGGCTTAACTAACCACTCTGTTGAAGAGGTGCCTATGCTGTAAAGTGCATTTACAAACTTAGAAATTCCAGCACAGATACAGGAGTTGCCTTTTGTTTTTCTCCAAGCTTAAGCAAGTATGGAAGTGCTGGGAGAACTGGGAGAACTGTACTTGGAGCTTGTTTCTGCTGTTGCTCAACTGAGAAAAGCAGATCCTCTAAGCAATCAAGGAGGAAAAATTAGGTAACACATCCCTTATGGAAGCTGGGATGGAAAAGTCCTCCTCAAGAGTAGGAGAAATCTGCTACTCATAGGAGTCAGAATCTACATCAGACTCATTGACTGGTTGCAGCTGAAAGGAAGCACCAGAATGAGCTTAGGAAAAAGTCTTATTAAACTCCTGAAAACCAAAAGAAGGGACTCCAAATCCTTGAGAAGGAAAGGAGGGTGCAGTTTGTGCCTATTCAAAATAGTAGCAACCTACCTGTTGAGGCATGGACCAAGTGGCAGATGGGGCCCAAAAGAGACAGTACTTACATTCTGAGCCGTCACTGAAGCTCCCAGGCGGCATGATGCAGAGGGAGGATGGTAGCCCGAA